CTCTCTCTCTCTCTCTCTCTCTCTCTCTCTCTCTCTCTCTCTCTCTCTCTCTCTCTCTCTCGTGCTCTCGTGTGTGTGTGTGTGTGTGTGTATGTGTGTGTGTGTGTGTGTAGTGAGTCGAAATGGCTTTGAGGTTTTGTGGTCTGTTGAAACCTTGAGGAACTCAGAGCCCTTTAGCTTCCTTTCACTCAGTGGGCAGTTCAGGGCTCTTGTGCACAGCGGAGGGTGGCCATACGGAAAGAGACATGCTGCTAGAGAGGAACCCGCTCTGAAGCTCTACCTGTCCCCGACTCTACATCCACACTGAAATCTGACTTTTCAAGGTGAGTGGCAAGGGGTAGGGAGTCCCACAATGACTGGGGTAAAAAGAGGCCTCTCGACGTTGTGTGCATCTAGTCTGGAATCTTCAGAAGCAGACGCTATGTGAAGGAAGTGCCTCTTTCTGACCTCCATGATACAAAGAATTGCCTTCTCCTTCCTGTGTGAAGCATTCGCTTCTGAAGATGAAGCCTAGTTTGTATTAGATACTAAGTATGGAAAAAATTATTTCAGAATTTTCCCCCAAAGAAAAACAGAAGAAATAAATTCTGATTTCAGCATCATAGATTTATATCCACTTCCTCAAATACTTAATTTCAAAATTATATGGGTTTTAGTGTCAAAACCTTTTACTGTTATGCTTAGTAATATCATCATATATCATCTGAATCCATTCTGGTAATTCTAACCAATACAAAGTAATTATGATAGCAGCCACACGCTGAGGACTTTCTAAAGTTTCTGTTCAAAATATCCTGTGAGATAAGAGTTATTTTAAATCCTTCCTATTGTTTTACTTTTGTATTTCTGGGGGTCAAACCTAGAGCCTGCTGAGGCTAGGCAAGTGCTTGGTTACGGGAACTGAACCCTCAGTGTGTTGCAATCACTGCAATTCTAATTTTAAGTCATTTGACAGAATTTTCGAATTTTTGTTTTTCCATATAAAGTTGATTATTGTCCTCTCAATATCTGTGAAGAATTTTGATGGGACCTTGATGGGGATTGCATTGAATCTATAAATTGCCTTTGGTAGAATTGCCATTTTTACTATGTTGATCCTCCCAATCCAAGAGCAAGGGAGATCCTTCCATTTTCTGGTATCCTCTTCAATTTCTTTCTTCAATGCATTAAAGTTCTTGTCAAATAGATCTTTCACTTCCTTGGTTAGAGTTACCCCAAGATATTTTATGCTGTTTGTGGCTATCGTGAAAGGTGATGCTTCTCTGATTTCCCTCTCTGCTTCCATATCATTTGTGTATAGGAGGGAGACTGATTTTTTGGAGTTGATCTTGTATCCTGCCACATTACTAAAGGTGTTTATCAGCTGTAAGAGTTCTTTGGTGGAGTTTTAAGGGTCACTTATGTACACTATCATATCATCTGCAAATAAAGAAAGTTTAACTTCTTCCTTTCCAATTCGAATCCCCTGGATCCCCTTATGTTGTCTTATTGCTATTGCTAAAACTTCAAGCACTATATTGAAGATGTATGGAGAGAGTGGACAGCCTTGTTGTGTTCCTGATTTTAGTGGGATGGCTTTGAGTTTCTCTCCATTTAGTTTGATGTTAGCTGTTTTAAAATCATAAATAGAACTTAAGAACACTTGTTCAATTAATTATATTTTAAAGGTCCTTTTATGCCATTATCTTCTGTCTGTGGTGGATGGTGTCTTTCCAATATGTGGAAAGAAGAAGCTATAGGTCATTAACACACAATCTGAATTTTAGAACCAGCCTGGCCTCTTTTGGAAATGTGTAATGTCAAGGCAGCAAATCCACTGAGCTTCAGTTTTGTCACAACTGCAGAATGTAATTGAGAAATTCCTTCTTCAGTTTTACAACTCCTTACTCCATTTTCTAAATCAGTTCCTAAGTCAGTATTTAATCAATAGGAGAAATAGGAAGACCAGGGGCTGATCAATCAGGTGATGGCAATTCTGTTTGCTAAATTCTGTTTGATTAGGGAAATATTATTTAAATATTCTGGTACAGAAATTTGACAGACTTTTCTTATTTCTTTTAATTTTTTATTTGTTTTTATTGATTTTTATTGAGCTCTACATTTTTCTCTACTCCCTTCCCTACTTCTTCCCCCTTCAACCCTCTCACAAGGTCTCTATGCTCCCAAATTACTCAGGAGATCTTGTCTTTTTCTACTTCTCATGTAGATTAGAGCTATGTAAGTCTCTCTTAGTGTCCTCATTGTTGTCTAAGTTCTCTGGGATTGTGGTTTGTAGGCTAGTTTTCTTTGCTTTATGTTTAAAAACCACCTATGAGTGAGTACATGTGATAATTGTCTTTCTGTGTCTGGGTTACCTCACTCAAAATAATGTTTTCTAGCTCCATCCATTTTCCTGCAAAATTCAAGATGTCGTTATTTTTTTCTGCTGTGTAGTACTCCATTGTGTAAATGTACCACATTTTCATTATCCATTTTTTGGTAGAGGAGCATTTAGGTTGTTTCCATGTTCTGGCTATGACAAACAATGCTGCTATGAACATAGTTGAGCACATGTCCTTGTGGCACTATTGAGCATCCTTTGGATATATACCCAAAAGTGGTATTACTGGGTCTTGAGGAAGGTTGTTTCCTAATTTTCTGAGAAACCGCCACACTGACATCCAATGGGGCTGTACCAGATTGCATTCCCACTAGCAATGTAGAAGTGTCCCCTTTTCTTCACAACCTCTCCAGCATAAGTTTTCATCAGTGCTTTTGATGTTGGCCATTCTTACAGGTGTAAGATGGAATCTCAGAGTTTTGATTTGCATTTCTCTGATGACTCTCTTAAGTGTCTTTCAGCTATTTTAGATTCCTCTGTTGAGAGTTCTCTGTTTAGGTATGTACTCCATTTCTTTATTGGATTATTTGTTCTTTTGATGACCAATTTCTTGAGTTCTTTGTATATTTTGGAGACTAGCAATCCGTCTGATGTGGGGTTCGTGAAGATATTTTCACATTTTGTAGGCTTTCATTTTGTCTTGTGGACCGTGTCCTTTGCTTTACAGAAGCTTTTCAGTTTCTGGAGGTCTCATTTATTAATCGATTCTCTCATTGTCTGTACTGCTGGGGTTATATTTAGGAAGTGGTCTCCTGTGCCAATATGTTCAAGTGTACTTCCCACTTTCTCTTCTATAAGGTTCACTGTGGCTAGCTTTATGTTGAGGTCTTTGATCAATTTGGACTTGAGTTTTATGCATGGTGATAGGTATGGGTCTAATTTCATTTTTCTACATGTTGATATCCAGTTATGCCAGCACCACTTGTTAAATATGGTTTCTTTTTTTCCATTTGATATGTTTTGCTTCTTTGTCAAAAATCAGGTGTTCAAAGATGTGTGGATTAATATCCGGGTCTTTGATTCAGTTCCATTGGTCCTCCTGTCTGTTTTTATGCTAACACCAAGCTGTTTTTAGTACTGTAGCTCTGTAGTAGAGTTTGAAATCAGGGATTGTGTTGCCTCCAGAAGTTCTTTTATTGTACAGGATTGTTTTGGCTATCCTGGGTATTTTGCTTTTCCATATGAAGTTGAGTTCTTTTAAGGTCTGTGAAGAATTTTGCTGTGATTTTTATGGGCATTGCATTGAATCTGTAGATTGCTTTTGGTAAGATTGCCATTTTTACTATGTTAATTCTGCCTACCCAGGAGCATAGGAGATCTTTCCACTTTCTGGTGTCTTCTTCAATTTCTTTCTTCAAAGATTTAAAGTTCTTGTCATACAAGTCTTCCACTTGTTTGGTTAGAGTTACTCAGATATTTTATGCTATTTTTGGCTATTGTGAAAAATGTAGAGCTCAATAAAAAATCAATTAAAAAAGTTTGACACACTTTTCTATAAAAGCTGGATAGTAACTATTTTAGGTTCTCACAGCCGAGTGATAAAGTTGAAAACAACATTTATTCACACAATTGTTTAAAAAGCAGCAACAAAACCACAACTGTTCCTAGTTCACAGAATATACAAAAGTGAGAAGTGAGGTGCATCTTGTTTGGGGGACATTGTTTGCCCCCATGTCCCCTGTCATTTTTCACAGTAATGAAGCAAGAGGTTATCAGAGTTGTTCATTTTAGTCTCCAACTGTCTTTAGGGTGATGAACTAAACTCCTGAATTTGTCTACAAAAGTTGGAGTGTATGCAAAAATGTTTTTAGTGGGACAGAAAGACATATGAATCATTGATTTCCACGATAGCCGAAATTCTGGTTCAGGCTAAGAAATTCCATAGTCAGAGGGCTTACTCAATGTCTTTGGTATCTATGTGTGCCAGCCATTGTGTTAGCTCTTTTAGAAATATTGCGTGCTGTCACTGAAAGCACAGGTCCAAATATATTATAAATGTTATAATGTATTTGTTCGCATTAATGAGATCCATCAAGGAGGTTTGAGGAAAGAGTACAAAATTGCTCAAATATTTATTTTTTATTGTAAATGTATTTTATTTTGTAATCAATAATCAAAATTTGCTTCCCCTCCCCCAAATGGGATCTTAGAAAAGTTCTTTCACTTTGATATAGTCTTACACAACTTTGGAATCTTCAAAACCCTGGCTAACGAAACAGGAGTAATTGTGTAACTGAGACCAGCGATGTCACAGTGCTGAAATGATACCACTTGTCTCACACTTCGCCAAATACAGTTGCAGAGTTCCTTTCATTGATTGTGAGCTTTAGAAATGATGGTGGAATAAACACGGGTTGGTGTTGTTGACAACTTTCTATGTTGCTTTGTTTAAATGCAATAGTATGCGACATTGTTACAAAACGCTAGACAGTAAGTACATCCACATTTTCTCCAAACAGTGTTTGGGATCCTGCTTGCTAACATGTGTTTTGTTTTCTTCTAAGCCTTACTGTTATTCTTGGTCAATTCTAACATCTCTTTTGGCACCAACTCACTTTTTGCAAAGTTCACTGTAATTCTGAAGTCAAATCTTTCCCCCAGCTCTTCTTAGGCAAATTGAACAACATCTTCTGTTTCAGCTCATTTCTACAGAAAATTAACATTGTGTTTAGCTCATGCATTAATGTCTGGGTAGATAGTTTGTTTCTTTGACCCACACTTCAAGTTGTCTTAGTTCATGTTTTAAGGCCATCCTCATGTTAGAACTAGTCAAAAAGAAGGCATTGATAATAATCTTTCCTTTTAGCTCTGGGATCCACAACCTCTGTCACAGCTTTCTGGAAGTGTCAGCACTCTGCTGAGTGTTGATATCCACCCAACCTGCCAACAACCAAAACCAGGGTGACTGTGTACCCACTAACAACAGTCCCTGAATCCCTTTTT